GTGTTAGGTCATGATATCAGGATTATCTGACTGGAATTATGTGAGCCATGGAGACATACCTGGAGGGCTTTGGGTTGAGAAAATTGGAAATCTCCTTCAAACAGTGGCACTCCTCAGCACCATCCACTGGGCAGTATGCAACCCTTTTTGAAGTGAATACTGTACTCGGCGTGAGCATGAGCTGAAGTAGAACTGTATTGGGGGATTAGGAATTAGATAGTCAAGTTGAAGGTGGGCACACATGGCTTTTCAGAGATGTCTACCAAACTGGTGGGCAGAGAAATTGGGTTGATGATTTTTCTGAAGTTCTGTGGAAGGAGAAGAAGGGACCCAACTGTTTTCAAGGGCAGCCTCTCATCAAGCAGTGACAATTAGACTACATGAGTTTCAGTCTTCGCTGCCCTTCTGTGAACCTGTTCTGATTTCTCTGAATTCTTTTTAAAATGTGATGGGCCAGTATTGGAAAGACATATGTGGAAAGACATTATGGCTTAGTGAACCAAGCCTCAGGCAAGAACTGTTTCAAATATATCGTTTCTTTCATAAGCCCATTATGACTTGGCTCACTTACATGACAAGGGGATTCTGCAACAGTTGTAAAATGTGAGGATTGGCACACACAAAAAGGTGTGCCTTTTTACACCATCTTAACTTTGAATGGTCACTGAAGGAGGCAGTCAATGAGTAAGGACTACCAGCACAGGATCCCTACCCTGGGCAGAGGATAGGATTAATTTTTTCACATGGTCTCTTCCAAATTTTACATCTTAATATTCTATATCCAGAGATCAATATAGAAGGCTGGTTAAATCAAGTTGATTGGCAGTTGCAATTAGCAGCTTTTGCATTTAGAGCAGTGGTAGTCAACCTGGTCCCTACCGCCCACTAGTGGACGTTCCAGCTTTCATGGTGGGTGATAGGGGTTTTGTCCCCTACTTTATAAATCACCATTACTGTGGAACCGGTGGGAGGTTAGAAAATTTTACTACTAAACAGAGATACAAAAGTGGGCGGTAGGTATAAAAAGGTTGACTAGCCCTGATTTAGAGCGTAGTAGTATAAAATGTACACTCTGTAATATGTAGCAGCAAAGTTTTGTTCCATCATTCATACCTGTCACCTGTATAATTACAGCTATTCCTGAACTTACAACTGGTTGCTTAGCAACCATTTAAAGCTTTGACATCTCCTGAAAAAGCTACTTACAACCCTGATTTGAAGTTCTGACATCTGACCACCACCACCCCATAGTCACATGACTACATTTTGGGCACTGGCAGCCAGTTCACATATTTGGACTTCAGACGTGATCACATGACTGCGAATTACATCATTTAAAAAAAAATGGAAACTGGTGTTTGCTTCTAGTTTCCACAAAAACATAGTGATCAAAGGGGTTCATTTAACAACCGTGGCATTCGCTTAACAACCGTCGCATAAAGGGTCATAAAATTGGACACAGGCACATCATGTTAACTCACTTTAAGATAGTCACAACTTAGAACTGCCAGTATGAATAAAGAACTGCAGATTTAATACAATTTATCTGCTGTATCAGTTTAACAAGCATTTCATTTCAGTTTAACTCCCTCTGCATTGCGAGTTTGCCTAACCAAAGTCTTCTCTTTGAGCACACTGTTGACCCTGTGTGATCCAGGGCATGCAAAACCAACAAACTGCACTTCCTCTTAAAATAAGAAAGCGGGGGAAACTTGAACTACACCCCTGGCGTCTTGCAGTCTGTAATTTAACTTATCTGCAGTTTATCTTTTACATTCATTCAGCCATTTGAAATCATTAAGGTGCAGAGATAAGCGGCAATGAGTAACCGCTCCAAGGTTCACTATTTGAGCGTCAGATGCCCATAAAAAAGGCCATAATTTTATAAATGGCATATTTGTATTTGTATTGTGCACGCAGCTGAAGGGGAGTTTACATTAGTAAACACTTTAGTGGCACATATTCCTGTGTGTGCTATCTATTTTCGGCTCCCATAACCTGAACTCACGTTCCACTGCACCTTCTCACATTTCACAGAAGGATAATACGATGAGCCCCTCTCTGATTGACTTTGGGTTTAAAGGAATATAGGATAAACAATCCATTTCATGTTCTGCAGCTTAACTTCACTTGGGTGTTTTTGCAGTGTTCAAAGCAGAGGCTTTCTGCTGAGCCATATTTTGCATTTCCAGAATGCTCCAGAATAAGTTTACGTCTGTGGAATTGCGGGAATGTAAAAGAGGGCCCATGGCACTGACCCACCTGGCACTGCATGGAGTGTCCGGCATAAAATAAAATCTGGGGGGTACTGAGGTTGGGACCAGGTACGCTGGGCCCAAATGGCAGATAATGGATGCTATACTAATAGAGGATAATGTTTGTAGCTTAGGGTTGAAACGAGAGGTCCTTGGCGTTTTCTGATCTGGTTTGTTTTCTTGAGGATATTTCCTTTACCCAAACTGGCAGCGGGTAACACCATCAGTGATGTTATGTAGTTTGGGTAGTGAAGCATCTGTTGCAACACAACTAAGTTAAGAGAGCATAGAACATAGAATCATAGCGTTGGAAGGGACCTTTGAAGGAATCCAGCCCTCTGCTCAAACTAAAGACCCTACATCATTTCAGACAAATGGCTATTGAGTTTCTTTTTTTAAAAGCCTCCAGTGATGGAGGATCCGCAACTTCTGAAGGCAAACTGTTCCACTGATTAATTGTCCTCACTGTTAGGAAATTTCTCCTTAATTGTAGGTTGCTTCTCTCCTTGGTTAGTTTCCAACCACTGTTTCTTGTCTTGCCTTATTGGTGCTTTGGAAAATAGTTTGACACACACACCCCTTGTCTTTGTAGGAGTCCCTCAAATATTGGAACACTGCTTTTCATTAGACTACTAGATATACCCAATTCCTGTAACCATTCTTCGTACCTTTTAGCCTCCGGCCCCCTAATCATTTTTGTTGCTCTTCTTTACATCCTTTTCAGAGTCTCAACATCTTGTTGTGGTGACCAGAACTGGATGCAGTATTCCAAGGGTGGTCTTAGCACTAATGACACTATTACTAGCACTAATGAAATTTTGCCCTTATAAATATTTAATTCTAGCCTTTTTAAAGTATAATCGGGGTGGGATGCTACCGGTTCTGCCTGGTTCTAAAGAACTGGTAGCTCTGAAGAGCAGCAGACACAGAACCGGTTCTGTGTTTGCTGCTGTTTGGCCTGCCCAGGATCTTATCTGTCCTTTATTTCTTGCTTTTTCAACCTTAGCTGCTCTGTGCGGCACAGCTGAGGTTGAAAAAGCAGGAAAAAAGAGGATTTTCAAACACTGTGCACCCACGCACAGTGCTTGTCAGCTGTCCGGGTGGCACAGCTGATGTTTTTCTTACATGTGCATGCAGCAAACCATGCAAGACATAGTCACTGGTAGTAATACCGGTTGAATCCCACCTCTGAGTATAATAATATCTCTTTTTTCCTGTGGAAGTTTGAAAGGACAAGAAAGTTTGTTTCCTGGTGAAAAGAAAAACTACGAACTTATCCTACTCCACTTCAGAATCTGGCAGTTGGAGTTTTGGACATTTTGATGCTTCATCTCTAATTATGCTCGTGTTTTAGGAATGCTTGTCCATCATACATACATCAAATTCTTCCATTTACCTTCATTTTACTCCCCCTCATTCACCAGGTTTGCAGGGACGGTTGAAGTTGATTGATTTACCTACACTAAAGATGGCATTAATGGGCTGCGATCCAACTCACAGCACACAACACACCTTTTTATAATTTTTTCCCCTTTTATCATCGTATCAAGCAGGGTTTTAGACTTGGATTCATTTTCAGGAAGCACCTTCAGCACTAAATTTCTTTTCAAACTGATCCCATGCACTAGGACAGTAGTGGCTAACCTTTTCGGGCTCCTGTGCCAAAAATTGTGCACACGCTTGCATACTTGCGCTTGCGTGCCAGCACCCAGAAGGCAATGCGCACTCCCCCACACCCTCTACTCATGTGCACGCAACCCTCACCCGACCCCCTTACCTGCACATGCACATGTCTCACAGCTAATTTTCGGCCAGTTTGAGGCTTTTTTTGTCCTCCCAGAGGCTTGAGGAAGACTTCTGCAGGCTTCTGCAGGCTTTGCAGGCCGAAAACTAGGCCCATTTCATCACTTCTGGTATTTTCGGAAAAACAGGAAGTGACTAAACGGTCTTAGATTTCGGCCTGCAAAGCCTACAGAAGCCTGCGGAAGTCTTCCTCAAGCCTCTGGGAGACCGAAAAAGCCTCAAACTGGCCGAAAATTAGCTGTGAGACATGTGCATGTGCAGTGAGATAAGTTTGCCTGCAGCTCGGGTGCTGGCACAAATGTCTCTGTGGGCCACTTGTGGCACACATGCCATAGGTTTGCCATCACGGCACTAGAACAAACCAAAGGGAAAGAGATTACAAAGGCTTGATTTACGTAGATCTAGCCAAGTCTTTGAAGGTTAACTCCCTCCACTGGATATGTTACAAACTAAAGTGCAGGCATCATCTATAGCAGTGGTCACCAACTGGTGGTCTGTGAGAAATTTTTGGTGCTCCTCAGAAAAATTTGCATTTTGTATATTGCACTAATCAGGGGTCCTCAAACTATAGTCCCTGGGCAGGATACGTGCAATGAACGTTTGTTCTGCTGCAGAGAGTCTCCCCCTTCGAGTTCTTTTTTTATGGGTCGGAGGGGAGCAGAAATTCCAACTTGGGGTCTGCTTCAGCCTCCTGGTGCAGGGCTTTGGGCGAAGGCTGGAGGGAAGTGCTGCTGGCGGTGAAGAGCTGGAAGGCCTTGTTCTAGTGGGACTGCATCATGGCCTGGAACTGGCTGACCATCTCAGTCAGCTGAGCCTCCCGGCGCCGGTACATGGCCTTACACTCCTGCAGGTCTTCCTTCTGCTTGGAAAGCCTATGCTCGTAGTCCTCAGTGAGGTGCTTCTGCTGAGCCTCCTTCTTGGTCAGATCCAATTTGAACTGAGCCGGCTGTTTTGTCAACTGTTTCTCGTGGTGGCTGCTTAGCTCGAACCACTGCTTCCTGTTGGGGCCCTAAGGAGCACAGGCAGGCAGGTGAGGAGTGGCTGGGAAGGGAGGGGCGAGTAGAGGCCGGCGAGGCACCCCTCAATGTGAGTGACATCAAGTTGGCCCCGCCTATCCAGTCACATGACCACCTAGTCACGCCCACCCAGCTGGTCATTAGGCATATTAGTGGTCCGTGGGATTTAAAATTATAAATTTAGTGTTCCCTGAGGTCCGAAAGATTGGTGACCCCTGATTTATAGTACCAACAGTCCCCAATCTTTGGGCACCAGGGACCAGTTCTGTGGAAAACAATTTTTCCATGGACTGTGGAGATGGTTTTCTATCTAGATCCCACAATTTTTCTATCTAGAACCCGTATTTTTCATCTAGATCCCACATATGCATAGATGAAGCTTCGCTTGCTTGTGCGGCCTAGTTCTTAATAGCCTATGGACTAGTACCAGTCTGCAGACTGGTGATTGGGGACCCCTGATCTGTACAGTTTTACTTCCTACTACAATACTGTAAAGAGTTAAGTAAGGTATTTCAGTGGGCTGGCTGTTTCTTTCTTGGGCCAGCATTTCTCTTGCTAGTTAACAGAATGTAATCTCCCCCTCAGACTTCCCACAGAGACCACCTGTGAAGATTTGAACTATCTCCCTCCACTTCAAGTATCTTCTCCCAGACTCTCCTGAAATCAACAAGAATCCTTCCACAGACAACACTTGCTCGTTCTCTCATCCTTGTTGACATTCAATGGCAGCCTCGCTTTCCTATGTAAACTATGTTCACTCTCCTCCTCTCACAATGGGCTAACAGTTAAAAAGAACATCATATCTGGCTGTACAACACAGCATAGGCCATCAGTCACACTAGACAAAAATGGTTGATAGCAGAATAAAATCTCAAGTTGAACTTGACTCCAAGTGACAACATAGATCAGTGTTTCTCAACTTTGGTGGATTTAATTAGTTTCTGATTGAGTAACCAAACAACACTCGGATTCAAGAGATTTTCATACACCTCTGCTATTAATTAGTATAGCGATTAAGGTTCTGAATTTGCACCTGGGACAACTAAGTTCATGTCCACTTTCAGCCGTGGAGAGTCAGCAGGTGACTTGAGGCTGATCACCCAGCCCAATTTATCTTCCAGGATGCTAGTTGGGAGGGAGCACTGTACATCTTGAGCTCTTGAAGAAAAGGTGGGGTATAAATTTAATAAATAAATATTGAGATGGATTGTCTGAGTCAGGAAGCATACACCAAATCATGGCACTTCCATTTTGGTGGCTATGAAGATAATAAGAGCTAGGTGTACTTTCTGCTATGCCAGTACAGGGTTTGGCTGGCTTTGACAGCGTGTTTCGAGAACCCAACCCCTGTAAACCATGATTTATGGCTTGATGTGATGCAGGAATCCATCCAATTGTGGGATCTCAGTCTGAATTTTGAATAGTACATGATTCTAGTGTACAATAATACGCAGGGTTCCCAGATCTGCTTTTCATATTAATGTAATAGCTATAACTAAAGTTACTTACAGGAAAAAAATGTTATACATAGAAGTTAAGCTTCCTTCTGTCAATCGTATTGTCCAACATATTCCCTATCCTTACTCAGTTTAAAGGCTCCCCCTGTCCTAAAATTCTGAAGAATTATTTTGCTCCACTGGAAAATGATCATGGAGAATAATTTTAGCAGGTGAAAACTCACAGGTATTGGAATAAAAGTTGCCCTGCCCTTCACAGGCCTTATCATGTTTGAATTACTTATTATATACCACAGGAAATGTTGAATTCGGAACTTTGAGAATTATGCATACTAAAATGGAATCTCATGAATGAAAATGCATAAAAACTTGTAAAGTTACTGTAATTAATAAACAAACCACCAGTGGGCAGTATTGGACTACCAGAATGCTAATGAAATACCGTTTTTAAAAATGTACATAAAATTGAGATATGAAGTAATCATATTAGAATAAAATATTGTAAGTTTAGGTTTCTTCAAACCTCATATGTAATAGTAACTTTTCATTTTATAGTTTTCCTGATCCACATCACATAGTTTCTTATTTTTTTTCCTGATCCTAATAGGGTAAGAGGCAGTAATCTAACAGAATGCAGCAATCCAGATTTTATTCAGTACTAGACTTTCCTTCCTTCCTTCCTTCCTTCCTTCCTTCCTTCCTTCCTTCCTTCCTTCCTTCCTTCCTTCCCTCCCTCCCTCCCTCCCTCCTTCCTTCCCTCCCTCCCTCCCTCCCTCCACAATCTGTTGAATGAATTTATGAACACTAATAAGTAAACAAATGAATCAAGACTAAAACTTGGTTTTTCTTGTATCAGTAAGCACTATGCACTATAAATTACAGATTAAAAAATGCTTATACAACTATATATATATGTGTGTGTGTGTGTGTTCATTTTTAATATGTAATAAAACTTTGCTTTTGTATCTCTATCATTAACTAGCATGATATATATACTTGTCAACACTTCCTGGACATTAGAGAGATGTGCTAATATGGTGGAGAATAGATCTGTGGGTGCAATTAGTTTTAGTTACTGAAGGACATCATTTTGACTTTTGCCTTGAGATACAGGTAGTTCTCTATTTTAAGCTGTAATTGATCCCACAATTGCATCCAATTTTATGACCATTTTTACAACAGTTGTTAAACAAACATGGTGGTTGTAAAGCAAACACCACAGTTGGTAAATGAACCCACTGTCTATGGAGATTCTCAGTCATCCAGGACATGTTTGTGCCAAAGGTGCTTTTTCAAGAGGCAACTGGACTTTCTGGTTTTCCTTTGACCCCCTCTTTGACCCTCTTTCAAACCAGTGGTCCTCTCTGTCCAAAATGTGGACTTTGCTGTCTTCAGAAGAGTGGCCTTTGTCTTTTAAATGCAGATGGGCTGCTGAATCTTGTCCTGATGGGTTTGTTCTCCTAGGTTGTGCCATGTGTTTATGAAGTGGTTCTTTTGTTTTCCCAATGTACAGATCTGCACACGGCTCACTGCATTGTACTGCATATATCACGTTGCTCAGTTTGTGTCTGGGTGTTTTATATTTGGGGTGGACAAGCTTCTCAAAGAGGCCATCCATGTCAAAATTCAACAGCCCTCTTTCAACAGAGGGAGAGGGATAAGACAGCATCCATCTTCAGTCTACAACGGTTCCAAGAAGGCTCCACACCCATTTGCACTACTCAGGTGACCCTGACAACACAGATAAACTTCCAGGTGGCCTCAATGACTCTAAAAGAATGCAAATGTCCAGCTGCCTGCAAGGAGTACAAATCCTTTCATTCCCCACCTCCCAGTCCGAGCTGAAGAAGCCTCTTGGATGAGAAGTGAAATGGTGTCTCAACTGAAGTGGGACGCAGGCACCCCCGGGGCCACGGCTTCCAACTGTTGCTTGAACCAGAGCCATGAATCCAAATAGTGAATCTGTTCTCTGTGGGGAGGCAGTATAGGGCACAATCCCATCAATAATCAAAGATGGTACAAAATTGAGTGAATTAGATATTAGATATTA